TTCCCTGCCAAAATTTTCACGGGTTTGCACGTTTTAACCGCGGACACGAGAAGGCTGAATTTAAATTTGTGAGGCCCCACGTGGGCGGGGGAAATAGCCCTGAATTTCCAGCTTCCTAGCTTTTGTAAACCCCGAATTGTAAGTTGCGGACAAATTCATCGAACACACACAGACAACCCTGTGATAATATGCGTATTGTGCAGCTTTTGCACAGCACAAAACGCATAACAAAAGACAAAACCAATAAACAGCAACACGCATCAGCGTAGCTGGTGCGATCATGCGTACTGCACAGTTCTGCCTAGCAAACGTTTGCTTTTGAAAATGTTCACTGCTTTGCTTGACTGTTTTGTGCAGAAATCGTCAAAATGTTCATGTTGGACCAAAACCTGTATTTTTACGCACGTGAGATCTCGGCGTATTGGAAGCTAAATCTAAAATTTCCGGAGTCATACACAGACAGGAAACATCCTCTTGAAATTTTTGTTTTTAGGCTGAAATTGTAGGAGAATTCCGTGCTCACCTACGACACCGCTGGTTTAAATTCGGCCCCACGTAAACTTGGTCCTTACTTGTGATCGCGTGAAAGTTCCGGCGCTAAAATTAATAACTTGGGGCCATAAAGCTTGGAAACTAAAATTAAAGAGGAAGCTATGTGTCTGTAATGCGACACAAAAGGTTTTGAATTCAGCTTCCACATAAAAGCGCATACGCTTTGGCGGAAAATTACCTAACCCCGAAACCAGAGCTTTTGTGGTCCTCAAGTTGAAAAGTATGGGCAAAATGTACTCGGACACACACACGGACACACACACACACACGCACACGCACACACACACACACACACACAGAGGTAGAGGTGTGAGGATTTGCGTCTTGCGTAGCTACCACACGGCATAAAACGCATAAAGTTATAAACATACAAAGCTTAACAAAAGCTCACTCGCAGCAGTGTTAGTTGTTCCTGTTGTTGTTGCTGATGGATTTACAGACACACTGAGCTTCCCTGCAAAAGAGCCTTTCCGAGCGGTTCCCGTACTTTGAACGTAATTCAGCATTAACGATATTGCATCGGCCAGCCAAGACAATCGTATTGTTAAAACACCATCGAATGCATACGGCTTCTGAGCAATCTGAAGAATCATTAATTCCAAATCGTTTCTGTCACCCGCTAAACGTTAACACAGACAGCAATCCCTAACGGGCAGCACAAATTACTTCCCCATCAGAACCCTAATTCGATTACAGTATTCTGTCCTCATTATCCCGTGATTATTCCCTTAGATCAGCGGCCCCGACCCAATTCTCTGTAATCAACAAAGTTACCGTACCAAATCGGAGCAAGCAATAATAAGCTCCTGCTGCAGTACAGCTGCTTGTGGTTCGCTTTCTGGACAAGAACTGAACAGGATTTCTTCAATTTCGACTGGAGTCGTTGGCGCAGATATTGTCACTTCGCGACAACCACTCACGCCCAGAGTGACCTGTCGAAATCAAGCACCTCATTATCCTGGGGAAGGAATGCAGAAAGAGAAATCGTTCGAAAAACTGCTGGTACCTGCTTGCCTCTAACAAGCATATTTGTTATGCCTGGTGCTAACGAATTCATCACTTTGCAAAGCTTTGCAGCACAGTAGCGTACGAGCCACCACAGACGCCAAGCGCATGCCTGCCGATAAACACGCTCCATACGTGTCTCCAGGCTTTCTGAAAAATATAAAGGACACACGCCATGAGATAGATGCGCTTTTCATAAAGAAATTATTTTGAAAAGTCCATGAATGTTTTCTGAATGACGGTAGAGTAGCCGTACTCGTGAATAAGGTGCCCACCTATAAAACTAACCTTCACATTTGATGGTTTCTATTTTCTACGAGGTAAGCTAAAAGAAAACGCAGACGACACAGGAAATTTGACAGATCTAACACTTTTCTCGGACAAATAAAAGGGAATGCTGAAAAACGGCGATCAAGAAGCTGATTATCAATAGAACAGCTTCCGCTGTGCTAACTGCACAGAGGTACGCTGAGACGAAACAACAGTTGACCTATGGTGGTCTCGGGATAGAACTTACCTCCATCGATGATATAGCCCTTCCCATAACGCCTACTCAGTATAGTAATTGCAAATGCCACAGCACGAAGCATATCAACATTATGTTTCCGGACAATTTCATACAATTCCTGGTCCGACTTGCACTCATAATCATGCTATAACAGAA